AGTTTAAAGGCAAATATATTCTCAAAATTTATATATAGATAATAAGTTTGATTTGGCAACTCTTATAAGGGCAAAACAACCCGGAATTTCTTTGGACACGTCGCTGTTTTAGGGCCCCTAAACCACACAAAAACATTACGCATAATCGGGCTTGCGTGGGGTTGCTTGTACTAAATTGTACTGTTATTGCGGTAAAATCAAAATTATTTTGATATTTTGCTCATGCTTGTGTTGTTGTACGATAATATGTGTTGAGTCTGGCGACAACCAGTGTTGACTTTTTGGCACAATTGTACTTATTTGATACAATTTCGTTTACAATATACTTTCCTACTACGAAGTACTTTTTGTGATGAATACTATAAATATATAGCTCTGAAAATTCACTGCGGCAATTCTTTTTATTCTCTTTGTGTCTTCGCCTTCACGTTTTCCTTTTGTAAGTTTTGAAAAAAGGTTTTGAACGAACCATTACATCATAGCACAAGGTGTGCTATCAACCTCACATTCCTACGCAAGTTTTGAAATAATATTTTCGATACTAACAGCCTTATTTGTATCACGAACGATAGGCAACACGAGCGATTCGTCTGCAGAGGAATGCTTCAAAAATTAGTCCGGTGGCATCATTTTAGCCGGTTTAAACGCAACCGAGACCATTGCAACGTAATGTATGAAAAGCAAGACGAAGACGACCGATAGAGTTTAAAATCGCAATCTGAGAGGTTGTCGTCTGCCGACGAACCGTTCGTTTTGCCTATCGTTCGTGATACAGAATAAGGCTCTAAACCTTATTAAAACTAAATGTCAGCTTCATATCGAAACAGTGTCATCGTTAATTAAGAAAGAGTTCTTCTTAAATATCATAACTTTACGACGCTCACATATTGACCACAGTATACAGTAAACCAGCCATTGACAATATGCTTATTTGAAAATTAATACATGAAATATTGTGCATGTATAGGATTCTTTTGTCATTAACAGATAGGCAATGACTGGTATAAAAGTACCCACACATGTTTGTTGATATATTTGAAATGTAAATTTTAACAGCGAAATTCGTGAAAAAAATAATAAAACAAAAATATTGTTGATTACTACATGGGAGGTGGTCGTGGTTATTGACAGATTTTGCCAAAATTTAATACTAACGTAAATTATACCAAAGGCAACTTCGGCACCGACTTTCGTTTAAATATCAAAATTTGTTTCGAGTTAGCGTGTTTACAAACAGACGCGACTGAACCAATTCATGTCGTCATTCTGAATATTTTGATAAATATGTATGTAAGAATATGTTTGCATTAACTCATGCATTATCCTTTTCAAATGAGAATAAGCGTCTGAACAAACGCATACAAATTTTGTGCATTTGTTCGAACGTCGATATATAAATGTGTGTACATATTTTATATAAACTTTGGAGGTCTCCAATATAAGAGTGGTATATTTGAAAATTAGAGAGTTCTACCTTTAAGCTAAGTAATAGGCTGACTTCCAAAACGTCAATTGCATTGCACACGTACAAATTATAATGTTCGATAACGCCGAACTACAAATGGTTGACAATGTATACTTTTCCAAAACGCATCGGAAAAGTTATCGAAACACATTGTTAGAGTAATCAGCGCATCAGAAACAATGTTGATGCTTCGTTTGTTTTTGGTTGCGATTGGCGTTGTTAAAATGGAAAATTACGAAATGTATATTGAATATTCAAAATATGCAATGTAAGTGGTTGCGATGTTTCGCAACTTTGCATATACAAGCAGTTTAAATACCGCAGTAGAACAGTATCCAAACATTGTATTGGTACGTTTTGGAAGTCAGTCATACTTGCTTTAACCGCTAATTTATGGGACCATGTTCTAAAATCAGCCCACCATTATTCACTCAAAGTTGTGTTCGGAACACGATATTACCAGGGATGCCTTTTGGATCTAAATAAATCCAATTGGATACATTTTTAGACGAATTGGTGCGTGATACTTATTTTTTATTAGTTAGCTAAAAAAGATGCTTTAAGCAAGATCTTAATATATACATATATAAAGTAAATATATCTCTTTCATATCACATATTTTCATTTGTTAATTTAAAAAGAAAGAAGATCTCAGTCTATTTTAAATACACTGTTTAAAAAACAAAATTTGATTTATTTAAGGAAATTTTTATGAATTTTACTGAAAATACTTTAAATACACTCTAATTTTTTTTTTTTGATTATTTGCGCGTATTAAGGGCCTGTTTTTCAGTGCACGGCCGTGGTTTACACTAAGTTTAAACGCCCGATCTGGCTGGTTTAAACTAAGATTAGCCAATCAAATACCAGCCAGCTGTTCAATTTAAACTCAGTTTACTTAATCTGAGTTTAAACTGGCACTGAAAAACCGGACCTAAGAGAGGTAACTATTTTCCTCTTTTAATGTGTGCAAATTGGCACACCGCGTAATAAAATTAAACACTGCCTGTTTACTTTAACACACCAAATTTGTCGCAGAGAGCAAAATAACACATACAATGTTTAAAATAGAGTAAATGTAAGCCTCTAATGTTTATTATTTATAGAAAATGTATTTTTAGTTTAAAAGGTTTTGCAACTTTAAACATTTCATGTGTATATTTTAAAGATCTCAAGTTCAAAATCAAATCCTGAACATCTTATACGTATGTATATTTATACAGATTCTTGTTGGAAAATAGATACTTTTCAGTAGGAACAATTTCATTTCCCAGCACTAGCGACAACTGCGAATTTTATTCTAGTTTTGATTTTGGTGTTCAGGGGGCCAAATTCTGTTCTGTGAAAACGTGAAGTGAAAACATTTTTAATCACTTCACATAAAATTACGATTCTGTTTTCAAATCTAAATAAATTAATTTTATTTGTTTTTGTTATTTATGGCCTTATAACAATTATATTCAATATTTTTTATTGAGCCTGAGGCCGTTTTTAATGAAAAACTATTGTCGAAAAGCAACAACAATTTGAAAAAATGGTAGAAGTGATAGCTATTTCGGAAATCACCACATTTCCTCATCAGTTTTTCATTAAAAAGGGCCTCAAGTCCGATAAAAATTGTTGAAAATAAATTAACTTGTCAAAAAATTTTCACTGCGAAAACTTTTTACACGAAGTTTTGTGGCTGTGAAAAAGAAGAGTTGGGCGTTTTTCTTAAAACCATCTTCTTGTGATAAAGAATATCATTGTCTTAAACTAACAATAACTTACCAAATAATTACTTGCTAGATGTTAATGGAATATGTATGAATAATGTTAATAATCGAGAATCGCTTAGAATAATATATACATACGATGAAATGAAAAAAATTATATTTTTACTAACACTGAGTTTTTCATTTTCACTTCACAGTTTCATAGAACCAGAATTAGCCTCCAGATCGTGCTGTAAAATATGGATAAGAGCGTATAAAAAATTAAATTTTTTTTAAATATTTTTTTTTTTGCGTTTTAAAGCTGAAGCTATCAAAATATACAACGCGCATATACATATATTTCGTGAACATGTTTACTTGAGCACCGATTCTCCAAAATAAGGTTTGCGTAATTTTATTCTGTATTAATTTCCACAATATTGAATTGTACAAGTCTCGGGTTGCAAAATGCTCTTGTGTGGTTTAGGGGCCCTATAAGTTTGTTTTTCGTTATGCAAATAAGCATACAGATTCTTTTTTTTTAAGAAAGATATATACATTTTTTTATAACTATGGATTTAATTATAATTTTTTTTTTATTATGTTTCATTTAAATAAAAGTTTAACAAATAACAGTTTTGTTTGCTTTTTATACAACGCTGATCACGATGTGTGATTATGGCGAGATGTTAACTTCATGTTATTCATAGTGGACGTGATGTTAACTCCGCTGCTCTGTTCCGGGTCGCCATGTTATTCATAGTGGGCGTGATGTTAAATTCTCTGCTCCGGTCCGGGTTGTAATATTACGTCCGCCGAAGATAAATAAATATGTACGTGGTGCGTCTTCTGTACACTTATGGTCTGATTATGCATACTTCGCATAACTTTGCATAAACTTCAAACTGTAATTTCGTATGTACTTTGTATGTATTTTGTATGTATTCCGTTACCCATAATTTAGCAGATCTTTTAAAAACTTAACGATCTGTTGAGTTTAGATTTTGCTTCACATCTTCATAAGTTACATTTTTATTGCACTGGTACAAATGGTTGTGCGAAGTTATGCGAAGTATGCATAATCAGACCTTTAGGCTTTTTTGATGCGGTACATGCGTTCCTCAGAAAGCCGCGTAAAAAAATCCATACAAAAAGTTCTTAACATTCATACAAAAACAGGGGATGCATTCCAACATTTTCAAAAACCGCATAAATTCAGATAGTTTATGTAAAAAATTCTGAAAAACCGCATACAAAAAACCAGTGAGGCAATATTAAGCAAAAAAAAACAATCTATTTCTTCACTTCAACACTTATTATTCCATGTAAAACTGAGCATTAATCAAATAAATAAAATCTTACTTGTATTTTAACCAAAGGCAAAACAAAAATACTACAATAAATGCATGAATAATGTAAAAATAAAAATACAAATTATTTTTCAGAAGCATTGTCTCTTACAAACTGAAAAAAGTAATAATAACTCTCAAAAAAGCAAAATCGGTACAGCGAAAAATTTATTTGAAAACCCGCATAAATTCAAATCCGCACAAAAAGAGACCTAAGTCTATACTGTTTATTCTGTGGTGTAGCTCAGAATAATTAAATAGAACTACTCTCACATTCGCCTAATTCGTTAAGGGCCGGTTGTTCAAAGTCCGGTTATCACTACTTCCCGGTTAAACATCGTTATCGACGTTTTCGACATCATGCAAAAAACATGCTATCGATAAAGCAGTCGTTGTATTTAACCGGAGCTTCTATCTCCGATTTGTGCTAATCAGACATTGAACAACCGGCCTTAAGTCCGGCTCTGGCAACCAGAAAAAAATCTTAAATTTTAAGCAAACGGCAACGCTGAGCGTTGTTGTAATTTAGTTTAATTAACTTACTCACGTAGTGGATGTAGCATATGAGAATTTTCTTTTATAATGGCGGCTTTAAAATTGGGAAGTAAAAATGTTTTCCCTAAAGGAGATACAGTTTATATAATCGCAGAAATCGGACAAAATCATCAAGGAAAGCTTAGTATAGCAAAGGCAATGATCACGGAAGCAAAAGTATGTAAGATTCTCGTATACCCTATAACTAATACGTGCACATATGTACATACTTTCACAGGCACATATGTACATCCATAAATATACACATACACATATTTTAATGTTTTAGAGAATTGGGTGTGACTGTGTAAAATTCCAAAAATCTTGCCTATCCTCGAAATTTTCAAAATTTGCATTAAAGCGTCCATACGGATCAGAGAATTCTTGGGGTTCAACTTATGGTGAACATAAGAAGCATCTAGAATTTGGCGTGGATCAGTACAAAGATTTGCAAAACCATGCAAAGGAAATTGGAATAGATTTCAGTGCATCGGCAATGGATGAGGTAAATATTACATTAACTAATAGACCACATCTGTTTTCATTACGGTTTCAAAGATTTCGACCATTATAGTTGTGTCTAATATCACGGTACCCTGGAAATAATTTCAACCCTCAAGTTGCCTCCCTTCGCCTATTCCTGTTGCTACTAACATTTTCCAAAAAAAAGGGCAAAATCCGTCGGGCGCCTTTTTCTATAGTAACTTTTACTAATTCAATTATTACATAGGCCAACAAAAATTGGAAAAAAATTGGTTGTCCAAAATGTTAAAGCTGTTTTTGATAGACTTTTTTGTGCTGATTACGAATCTATAAGTACAAATTTTCCAACAGCTTTAGATTTTGAGAAGCCCTAGCGAAAAAACAAAAGGGGATATAACCTTCCACTTGGGCTTAAATTAAACCTAGAACTCTCGGCTACTATCTTTAAAAATATAATCTGTGGACCTTGACTTGATGGCCACTCATAGTCATTTATTGAACAATAGACTTCGCCAAAATCAGTTTTAGCTAACTTAAGGGTTGAAATTGTTTCCAGGGCACCGTGATATGCAATGGTTTGTAATAATTGGTACAATCGTATGCAAATCTTGAAGCAAAGAAGAAATTTTGAGTCAAAAGCGGTATGAGAAGTAGCTTCTAGGGCCGGTGTTTCAATGTCGGATAACACAAATCTCGGGTTAAATACGACTCTTTTGGGCCAATTATGCATACTTAGCTTTGCATGAGAGTTGTCACATAAGAATCTGTTAAACGGGCTTTGCGTGTAAGCGGTTATCCAACGCATAGCACTTAACATGTTGAATTCTGTTGGGTTTTTATTTTTACGTAAAAATGGTATAGCAGTGCAAGTATGCATAACTGGTCTATTTATCGATCACATGTCATATGCATGATGTCGAAAACGTCGATAATGATTTTTAACTAGGAGGTAGTGATAACCAGACATTGAATAACCGGCTCTTACTGGATATATTTTTCCTTGAAATAATTTACTAGTATGAAAATCAGCTAATTACATGAATGAACAGCGGTAACGATGTTTGACTGGCGATTAATGTAAACCAGAGTTGGTGAAAACGGCCGATTGTTCAATATCTGGTTATCGAAGTCGTCGATAACGATGTTTATCCGGAGATTAAGGGCCGGTTGTTCAATGTCTGGTTATCACCACTACATCATTACCGACGATTTCGACGTCATGCATATAACATCAGATCGATAAAGCAGTTTTTGCATTTCTACCTCCGATTTGTGTTAATTAGACATTGAACAACCGGCCCTTATGTTAACTGGTTACTTAATGGCTCATTAACACTAACTGCAGGTTAAACATGGCTGTTGCAGTATTTAACCGTAGCGTCTACCTCCGATTTGTATTAACCAGACATTAAGGGTCGTTTTCACCAACTCTGGTTAACGCTAATCGTCAGTTAAACATCGTTGCCGACGTTACTGATTCCATGAAAATTACATGCGTGAAAATGTTTGTAACTGTGTGCATAACTAAAAGGCAGGTAGCAAACCTAAGTCTTCGGTTATCGCTAATTCTGCCATTAATGCTGCTTCGCCTTCCGCTGTGGGAGTCAGCGTCAACTGATTCTCAGCCTCCTTCACAGTGGTCTATTTTTAAAAATAAAAAGTAAAAAAAAAAACATAATAAGGCATCGGATGTGGTTTTAGGTGTTAACAGTAGCACGGAACTGGATGTAGTGACTATGAACCAATGGATTCACCTTTCCTCTTTTAAACCAACGGTTTCCGAGGATGATATAATTTCATATGTTACTAAAAACTCTACTATCGACAAATCTCTTATTTCTTGCTTTAAACTTATTAAGAAAAATGCAGATATTAACCCTTTTAAGGCCGTTTGCACCATGTCTAGTTAATTCTAACTCCCAGTTAAACATCTTTATCGACGTTATCGACACCCATCATATAACATGTGATCGATAAAGCAGTTAACGTGCTTAACTGAAGGATGTACCTCCAGTTAGCGTTAACTAGACATGGTGCAAACGGCCCTAAGAGAATTAGTTTCAAGCTTGGGGTTGCGCCATCTCTTATTGACCAGGTCTTGAATCCTGCGCTGTGGCCTGTGAATGTGAAGGTTCGACCGCTTCAAAATTTACAAAAGGGCGATCCTCTCAAAAACAAAATGTAGCGTTATCCAAAAAATTTACTTTATTCAATGATTTAAAAATTCACTTTCAGAACATGGGTGGCATTCGCACTAAGTCTGAAAGCATACGTACTCAGAGTGCCCATTTGGACTTTGACATCATAGTTTTTGTTGAGACATGGTTAAACTCTAATTTTTAGGATGAAGAATTTTTCGATTCAAATCTTCGTCTTTCGTAAAGATCGCGATGCTAGTAGAACGGGGTGTTCATTGGGTGGAGGTGTTCTTATTGCCGTCCAGCGTTCGTTATACGCATTTCAAATAGAACTCTCTAATGAGGACCCTATTTTCGAGCAACTGTGTGTTTGCGTCAAAAGTTCTTCTGGTGTTGGCGATTTTTATCTAGTAGCCTCTGACGTTCCGCCAAGTAGTAGTTTTGAAATCTATAAAGCTCACACGGACAATATTGTCTCCCTTGCTAAAAATAAAGTTAATGATAATCATCTCTGCGTGTTTGGCGATATTAATCTTCCGAACATTATATGGTCAAAACATTTTTCCAACTTTGGGCTAATACCAACTAATATTACAACTTCCTTTGAATCATATTTCATTGATAATCTCTTAAGTTTAGATTTAGTTCAAATTAATTATTTTGAAAACAAACTTAATAGAATTCTTGATCTCATTTTCGTTTCTGGCAACTTTGATTCTACTATCTCTCAATGTCTTTTTCAATTCTCTCCTGCTGACAAAAATCATGTTTCAATGTTGCTTAGAGTCGAATTTTATGCATTTTCCGTCAACAAACCGGCCAACAGAATTGCCTTTAATTACTCTTCCTGTGACTTTTCTAGGCTTAATGATCTGTTATTTGCTACTAATTGGCATGACATGCTTTCGGGCTTAATGTCACTGACTGCTTTAATGCATTTAAATGGACACTGTTGGATATATGTTTCTCTAATATTCCGCAAATAAAAAAGTAATTACATACTTAATGTTGAGAATAATAATAAATCGAGTCCGAAGGCTTTTTGGCAATTCATTAAATCCAACAAGTCATGTGCGAATGTACCAGCTGCCGTGAGTTTTGATGATAAAGTGGCGAGCTCTCCGTGTGAGGTTGCCTATTTATTTGCCGAGTTTTTCCAATCTAACTTTTTTCGAGACAATATAGACTCCTATAATCTTCCCGAATGTAATCAGTTTTTTTCTCTAAATTTTGGTAATTTGAATCTATCCTCTGAGGACCTATCAGAAGGAATTTTAGCTTTGAAGCCCTCTTCTCAGACAGACGTGGACTGTAATTTTATTCAAAAAATGTCCCGCTATAGTCGCTTTACTAAACATAATTTTTAATAAATCTCTAGCAGCCGTTGTCTTCGTTGATGATTGAAAATTGACCACAGTAACACCAATCTTTAAAAGTGGCAAAAAGAATGATGTACGAAACTATAGACCAATTTCCAAGCTGTCGACTACTTCCAAATTATTCGAAGCTATCATTAAAGAGAAAGTATACTTTGCTACGAAAAGTTTAATTTCTTCCAACCAACATGGTTTTGTATCAGGCAGGTCCACGGTCTCCTACCTGGCCGTTTTCAGCGAATATTGCATTGAATCATTTTCGTCCGGACTTCAAGTAGATTGCATCTACACAGATTTCTCCAAAGCTTTTGACACGGTGTCACATAGAATTATCTTACGTAAATTGGGATCTTTTGGTTTTCACTCGATTTTCCTTCAATGGTTGGAATCATATCTAAGTGAAAGGCGTTGTCTGGTTACAATTGCGAGCGAATCCTCTGCTCCTTTCATTGCCACTTCAGGGGTACCTCAAGGAAGTGTTCTAGATCCTCTACTTTTCGTCCTATTTATAAATGATATAAGCAGTTGCTTTTCATTTGCTAATCACTTATTATACACAGATGACTTGAAAATTTTTGCCGCAATAAGAAATTTAAACGATGTAGCTGGGCTTCAGGCCGATCTTAATGAACTTGCCTGTTGGTGTACTAATTCCTTTATATCTTTAAATATTAAAAAATTTTGTCAAGTCACGTACTCCAAATCTCGTGATCCTCTGCAATCGTCATACAATATCTCTAATAATGTCCTTCAATCTCTGGATGAGGTCAAAGACCTGGGAGAGAAATGTGCTCTTTCTCAAGTCACATCAATTTTATTATCTCGAAGTCCTACTCGATTCTAGGTTATGTGAGAAGAAATAGTGCTAACTTTTCAGATCCTTACACAATTAAATTATTGTTTACTGCGTTTGTTCGGTCCAGGCTGGAATATGCTTCATTCATTTGGAGACCTTATCACCAATTTGCTATAGCAAGAATTGAACGGGTGCAAAAGGTGTTTCTGAAATTCGCTCTAAGATGTTTAAATTTCTTGGACCCTATTCCATCATATAACTCCCGCCTGCTTTTAATAAACTTAAAGTCGCTTGAACGCAGAAGGTCGATACTATCGCTGTCTTTCGTTTTTAATTTAATTCAAGGGAACATTGATTGTGAGTTTCTGTTGCAACGCGTAAACTTTCTTATTCCGGCAAGAACTTTGCGAAGCTCTTACCCTTTTTACCTTAAGTTTTTTAAAACCAATTATGAATCCAATGCACCAACTGCACGGGCGCTTCGATAATTTAATGAGGTCTCGAATCCCATTTCGTTTGATTTTTCAAATACTAATACAGTAAGAACCATTGTGTTTTTTGACTAATTAAATAAATAAATAAATAAAATAAATAAATTCAAACAAAAAAAATGTAAAGAACACCACTCTGTAAATGTCCCAATCGCTTGGTCTGGCCTTGATTCAAAGTGAACATTTGAACACAAATTTACATGCGTGGCTGTAGCTCAGTG